GTTGCCAGCGATGGGGGGGGCGGGGTCGACGTAAGCGCCCCAGAAGAGGCGTCCCCTCTCTCATGGATATAGACATTTCTGAGACGGATACATCTTTAACAAGCAGTTATGAGGCGATTATCCATCTCTGTGTCTATGATCTTTGATATATTCGCCACCCGGCTAATGTGTCTTGTGGTGATGGAGACAGACACCAGATGAAAGTTTTTAACACCGTCACATATACGATCTGTTTTATTGTACTGGATAAGATCTAAGAAGGAGTGACGTTTATATCTGTGAAGTAAGATGACACCTAACCTAACCTAACCTAACCTAACCTAACCTAACCTAACCTCAGGAAAAAATTATTATGCTGTTCAAGACAAAACTGTAGACTTATGCTTGTAACATTGCATCATCATATCATGGACTCTTGGGTCACACATCACAACATAGAGATCGGCGTCACACATCACAACATAGAGAGCTTAGTCACACATCACAACATGGAGAGCTACATCACACATCACAGCATAGAGAGCTGCGTCACACATCACAACATAGATATATATGCTTTGAGTAGAGTTCCCTTAACTTGGCTTATATATAAATAAGTTGAGGGGTTAAGTTACAAACCCAAAATGGTCTTTTCTCAATTTATTGGTAAAACTATGTTGGTCACAGTCTATAAGTAGATGCACCGTAATTAACACTAAGCTGTGAGTGTTAGTTAAGGACGGGGGCTTAGCTTGACTGAATTAGGTTACCCTTCCGATTCTCGTGAGCTTCAAGTGAGGACTGGTGCCTGTGAGGACTGGGGCCTGTGAAGAGGCTCTGAAGGAGAGACCGGGCTAACCCTACATTCTCAAGGTCGGACAACTGATAGAGGAATTTCCCCTCGCGTGAACAGCACATGGCGTCTCACAGCTTATGGAAAATTACAGTAGGGTGATTGGATTATATAAACTAAATGTATTAACCCAAATTTATATAATTGTTATTGCCATGAGACAGGGGCTATATATAGAGAGCTGTGTCACACATCACAACATGGAGAGCTGAGTCACTCAACACTCACCACAGGGTTGCCAACACAACATTCATCACAGGGCTGCCAACACAACACTCACCACAGGCCTGCCAACACAACATTCATCACAGGGCTGCCAACACAACACTCACCACAGGTCTGCCAACACAACACTCACCACAGGTCTGCCATCACAACACTCATCACAGGGCTGCCAACACAACACTCGCCACAGGGCTGCACAACACCCACCACAGGCTGCCAACACAACCTCACCACAGGTCTGCCAACACAACACTCATCACAGGGCTGCCAACACAACACTGCCACAGGGCTGCCAACACAACACTCACCACAGGGCTACCAACACAACACTCACCACAGGGCTGCCAACACAACACCTCACCACAGGGCTGGCAACACAACACTCACCACATGGCTGCCAACACAACACTCACCACAGGGCTGCCAACACAACACCACCACAGGGCTGCCAGCACAACATTCATCACAGGGCTGCCAACACACATCACAGGGCTGCCAACACTCGCCACAGGGCTGCCAACACAACACTCACCACAGGGCTACCAACACAACACTCACCACAGGGCTGCCAACACAACACTCACCACAGGCTGGCAACACAACACTCACCACATGGCTGCCAACACAACACTCACCACAGGCCTGCCAACACAACATTCATCACAGGGCTGCCAACACAACATTCATCACAGGGCTGCCAACACAACACTCACCACAGATCTGCCAACACAACACTCACCACAGGTCTGCCATCACAACACTCATCACAGGTCTGCCAACACAACACTGATCACAGGCCTGCCAACACAACACTCATCACAGGGCTGCCAACACAACACTCACCACAGGCCTGCACAACACAACACTCATCACAGGGCTGCCACAACACTACCACAGGTCTGCCAACACACACTGATCACAGGCCTGCCAGCACAATATTCATCACAGGGCTGCCAACACAACACTCACCACATGGCTGGCAACACAACACTCACCACATGGCTGCCCACAGGGCTGCCAACACAACACTCACCACAGGCCTGCCAACTACACTCATCACAGGCCTGCCAACACAACACTCACCACAGGCCTGCCAACACAACACTCATCACAGGCCTGCCAACACAACATTCATCACTGCCAACACATCACCACATGGCTGGCAACACAACACTCACCACAGGGCTGCCAACACAACACTCACCACAGGCCTGCCAGCACAACACTCATCACAGGCCTGCCAACACAACATTCATCACAGGCCTGCCAACACACTCACCCCAGGGCTGGCAACAACACTCACCACATGGCTGCCAACCACTCACCACAGGGCTGCCAACACAACACTCACCACAGGCCTGCCAACACAACATTCATCACAGGGCTGCCAACACAACATTCATCACAGGGCTGCCAACACAACATTCATCACAGGGCTGCCAACACAACACTCACCACAGGTCTGCCAACACAACCTCACCACAGGTCTGCCAACACAACACTCACCACAGGTCTGCCAACACAACACTCACCACATGGCTGCCAACACAACACTCATCACAGGGCTGCCAACACAACACTCACCACAGGTCTGCCAACACAACACTCATCACAGGGCTGCCAACACAACACTCACCACAGGGCTGCCAACACAACACTCACCACAGGCCTGCCAACACAACACTCACCACAGGGCTGCCAACACAACATTTCATCACAGGGCTGCCAACACAACACTCACCACATGGCTGCCAACACAACACTCACCACAGGGCTGCCAACACAACATTCATCACAGGGCTGCCAACACAACACCTACCACAGGGCTACCAACACAACACTCACCACAGGGCTGCCAACACAACACTCGCCACAAGCGATTCCATACAAGTGGCACCGTCGCAATGATAAATAAGACACGAGTTTCCAACAATAATTACGGTGCAGATTTATTCATAACAAGGCTACTGTATGTAAACCCTCGTGTAAATGGTGTCTAAGTAATAAAGCAGCATGACAAGCTTTTAATTAACAGTGTATGAAGCTACGGTACATACAGGTAGAGCCAGGCGACGGATCTGTCTTCAGGGTGTAAGAAGGTGGATTATGTTTACTCGCTGGTGTTATGGTCGTAATGGTGAGGAAAATTAGTTATATGATTCCTGCATTCACTCAAACTTTAGGTGATACTGTACTGTATTACTAATGTGGGAGACTTATGGAACTGTAGCGCGGTTTATGATCTGTTGTTGCTGTCAACTTTGTACCATGGTGTGTGAACTGTTGATGTTGTCAACTTTGTACCATGGTGTGTGAACTGTTGATGTTGTCAACTTTGTACCATGGTATACGATCTGTTGTTGTTGTTGTTGTTGTCAACTTTGTACCGTGGTATACGATCTGTTGATGTTGTCAACTTTGTACCATGGTATACGATCTGTTGATGCTGTCAACTTTGTACCATGGTATACGATCTGTTGATGTTGTCAACTTTGTACCATGGTATACGATCTGTTGATGCTGTCAACTTTGTACCATGGTATACGATCTGTTGATGTTGTCAACTTTGTACCATGGTATACGATCTGTTGATGTTGTCAACTTTGTACCATGGTATACGATCTGTTGATGTTGTCAACTTTGTACCATGGTATACGATCTGTTGATGTTGTCAACTTTGTACCATGGTATACGATCTGTTGATGTTGTCAACTTTGTACCATGGTATACGATCTGTTGATGTTGTCAACTTTGTACCGTGGTATACGATCTGTTGATGTTGTCAACTTTGTACCATGGTATACGATCTGTTGATGTTGTCAACTTTGTACCGTGGTATACGATCTGTTGATGTTGTCAACTTTGTACCATGGTATACGATCTGTTGATGTTGTCAACTTTGTACCGTGGTATACGATCCGTTGATGTTGTCAACTTTGTACCGTGGTATACGATCTGTTGATGTTGTCAACTTTGTACCATGGTATACGATCTGTTGATGTTGTCAACTTTGTACCGTGGTATACGAGCTGTTGATGTTGTCAACTTTGTACCATGGTATACGATCTGTTGATGTTGTCAACTTTGTACCATGGTATACGATCTGTTGATGTTGTCAACTTTGTACCATGGTATACGATCTGTTGATGTTGTCAACTTTGTACCGTGGTATATCTTTCACAACACTTGCAGACAGTACAGTACATTAATTGTTGAGGCTTCACTACCAATGATCAGTCAGTTTGGTAGACATTACGGGGACATAGACCTGTTTGTAACCCCGGCCTTGGAAGCATATTAGTTTTCCCTCAAAAGTTCTCACGAAGTCAAAATGAGGCAGAGATTAATATTACCATATATTGTATATCAATATTTTATTACAATAGCTACTGTTTTAATTCAGTGAAATACAATAGAAAATAATATTGACAATTTAGACTTATTACAAAACACCGCCTTGTTCTCTGGAGCTCCACTCTCACGGCGGCCACCTAATATGGCTTACACCTCCAGGGTTTAGTCCATTTGGTTCTTTGAAGGAAAATAAAATTATGTTGCATCATACAAGAGTGTATTAAACTAACCAAGATTTAAACATACATTAAAAATAAGTCTACAAATAATTACCCGAACTACTACAACCATAATATAGAAATATCTTGATTAACACAATATAAATAAAGGAACCAGGAGAAGCATCGCATTTCCCAGCGTGACGAGGAAACTTCTATACTAAGACCAAATGTGAAAAGGACCTGGGTGTGTATGTTGACAACGAACTGAAGCTCTCGGACCATTGTGAGAAGAAGGTAAATTAAGCAACTAAACGAGTAGGTCTTATAACAAGGTCATCCCTCGAAATGATCTTCAAGAGTGAGGTGCTTCCCCGTCTGGAGTATTGTCACCCCGCCTGGTCCCCGAGATAAGCTAGGGACTGTCAGTTGATTGAAAATGCCCAAAGAAGGGCCACAGACTGGTGCCTGCACTTTGGCACCTCAGTTATCCAGAGAGATTAGAGCGACTGTAACTGTCTAGATTATACTGCAGATGGGCAAAGGGGGACCTAATTGAAGTGTGTAAACATTTCAAAGGGCACTACTCGGTCGAATGTACATAACATGTGTAGTGTTCGTGTACCTCACCAGTCTACCACACAGTGTTCGTGTACCTCACCAGTCTACCACACAGTGTTCGAGTACCTCACCAGTCTACCACACAGTGTTCGTGTACCTCACCAGTCTACCACACAGTGTTCGTGTGCCTCACCAGTCTACCACACAGTGTTCGAGTACCTCACCAGTCTACCACACAGTGTTCGAGTACCTCACCAGTCTACCACCCAGTGTTCGTGTGCCTCACCAGTCTACCACACAGTGTTCGTGTACCTCACCAGTCTACCACACAGAGCTCGTGTACCTCACCATTCTACCACACAGAGTTCGAGTACCTCACCAGTCTACCACACAGTGTTCGTGTACCTCACCAGTCTACCACACAGTGTTCGTGTGCCTCACCAGTCTACCACACAGTGTTCGAGTACCTCACCAGTCTACCACACAGTGTTCGAGTACCTCACCAGTCTACCACCCAGTGTTCGTGTGCCTCACCAGTCTACCACACAGTGTTCGTGTACCTGCAAGTCCTACTGTGTTTCGTCTTTACCTCACCAGTCTACCACGGTGTTCATTGTGCCTCACCAGTCTACCACACAGTGTTCGTGTACCTCACCAGTCTACCACACAGTGTTCGTGTACCTCACCAGTCTATCACACAGTGTTCGTGTACCTCACCAGTCTACCACACAGTGTTCGTGTGCCTCACCAGTCTACCACACAGTGTTCGTGTACCTCACCAGTCTACCACACAGTGTTCGTGTACCTCACCAGTCTACCACACAGTGTTCGTGTACCTCACCAGTCTACCACACAGTGTTCGTGTACCTCACCAGTCTATCACACAGTGTTCGTGTACCTCACCAGTCTACCACACAGTGTTCGTGTGCCTCACCAGTCTACCACACAGTGTTCGTGTACCTCACCAGTCTACCACACAGTGTTCGTGTACCTCACCAGTCTATCACACACGGGTCCGGGAAGTCGTTTGGGTTGACGTCCATGGCTGATGCCTGACCACAGTGATGCCCCTCTGTCTCCTTCACGAGTTAAGACACAATATGTATGACTCTAGTCCTTCTTTATGACTTTTATAATATTATTGTTGGGTTTATAAGGTAATTTATGCAATTCGTGGATACATTTTCACTGCTTTATAACCAGCCGCATCTACCATATGCTTCGCCTCGCACAAAGACTTTGTTGTACGTTGAGGTTTTGTGAATGTGAGACTAAGTTGGACAGACCTTTTTCACGAGTTGCTGCGCTTGGTCCAAGAGAAGGTTGGTGGAGTCTGAGCGAGCATTAGCAGTCTCGGTGGAGGCCTTGAGTTCTTCAAGAGTCTGGGCTTGGTCAACACAGTTTTGGGTTGCCTTGAGTACAGCCGGACAAGAGTCCAGCGTCTTCAGGTGATTGTTGACCTCATCAACTTTGTGAGGAATGTCATGGACCTCCTCAAGAAGTTTGGCGATCTCCTTTTTGTGTTCTCTTTCCTTTAATAATAAGAAAGACTTTGTTCTCGAGAGCCTGACTTTCATTTGGGTAATCTTCTGTAACAAAGAACTTGTGTTGCTCTTATTATTGTTTTTAGCCTCGAACATCGCCTGGGAAAACGTCATAATGTTACACTGTCCCAGCGGTGGCTGGCGATGGTCCACCACCAGACAGTTCCTGCATACCCACTTATAACACTTGCAACATATAAACAACAAGCGAGAGCCGTGAGCTTTACACTCCCCTGCGTCAGGATCTTGACCTGGCTTCCCCTCGAGGACCTGGCAACCTTTCTGCTGCTCTGCCTGAACCTTCCCGAAGGAACGAGCTAACCTCAATAACTCGAAATTGACAGGCGGGTCCTTTCCCTTGGAGACGGTGATGCGGGCACGACATTCTGGACACCTGCTGTCTCTGGTGAAAATTTGTTGGACACAAAATGTGCAGAGAGAATGTCCACAAGTCAGGATGCGAGGAGGACGGTTGTCGCCATATTGTTCCTCACACACACCACAACAGAAGTCCTCCGCCTGCATTCTACTCTGTAATGATAAACAAATACATTACCAGTAGTTATCATTCCCTCAGGACATAGATACTTTTTATTGTAAGCTCTTTGTCTCAACACAGTCTACACGGGTCTGCCTACAATATACAACATCAAAACACTCAAACGCTTAACTAGACAGTACTCATCTACTGCGTGTGTAGAGCTTATAACACTCACATCATATACATAATTTATCAGTAATAAACAGAGTAGATAAAATATTGTTTCACCATCTGTGTTAAGACATACGGACGTTCAGTAAAGGTTGACCTACGAGGCTGGCTTATCCAGGGAGCGTTTGGAGAAAGAGGCTGATGTTTTGATCCAGCAGAGACACAGACAATGCTGGTACACATATAATATACACAGACAATGCTGGTACACATATAATATGTACACACAATGCTGGTACACATATAATATGTACACACAATGCTGGTACACATATAATATGTACACACAATGCTGGTACACATATAATATACACAGACAATGCATGTGACCAATATGCTAGGGACTGTCAGTTGGTTGAAAATGTTCAAAGGAGGGCCACCAGACTGGTGCCTGCACTTCGGCACCTCAGCTACCCTGAGAGATTAGAGCGCCTGAACTTGCCTAGCTTATACTACAGACGGGCAAGGGGGGACCTAGTTGAGGTGTATAAGCATCTCAAGGGGCACTACTCAGTCGAGTGTCCTTACTTGGAGCTGGCGGACGCTCACCCCACAAGGGGTCACAGCTCAAGATTGAAGAAGCCGCAAGTCCAGAAAACCGTGAGGGCAAACTTTTTCGGAGTGAGGGTTGTAAACTCTTGGAACAATCTACCAGAGAGTGTTGTGACGGCACTGAGTGTGAGCTCTTTCAAGACAAGACTTGACCAACACTGGAGCGGGTTCAGGTACATTCAGGAGCCGGTGCATGCCCAGTACTTGCCAACAGTGCGTGACAGAGACGTGACCGATCGCCCGGGCGGCTAGCGAGCCGATCTTTTGGTGAAGAATATAAATGAAAAGAGACGTGACCGATCGCCCAAGCGGCTAACAAGCCGATCAGTGGCAAAGAGGATAAAAGTAAAAGTAAAAGTTCCGCACAATAATCTCAGTACACTCGTTTTCAAATAGCGACACCTGGCATTTATTGTTGTGTTGCTACAAATAGTCGTAAGATTGTGTGAACGAATCTGGGATTTAGTGACTGAGCGTTCCCGCAACACACACCGAACTCTTATGGTTCCTATAATATATTATTTAGAGGGTAATTATCTTCAATAAACGTTTTTGTAGCTAATCTCCAGATGATCCGTTGTGTCGAAATCGTGGTTTAATTTATGTATTTTTTTTACCTTCCGGCCGCTTGGCGACGCCACCGTTGCGGGAGGATACAAAATTTAACATTGAGTGAGCTGTCCTGCTATAGTTTCAGAATCATTGGTTGTACACACCAGGTCACCAGCAACTACCATTCGGTGTTTGACCGTGGTGTTGTGAGCAATGGCTCTAGTTTCGCGCGCAACGAAAGCTACTTTGTGGAGTGTGGTGATGATTGAGTGACAATGGAGAGAAGGGTGAAGAAAAGAACCTTGTGATGCAAAAAGTGGTTAATGAAGAGGCGATCCAAGATATGTTTTAAGCACATGATTAATGAACTTCTAATAGAAATTGAGGTGAATTTCAAAATCATGTCAGAATACCAGTAACAGCCTTTTGTGCTCTTCTCGAAAAAGTACAACCTCAAACTAAGAGTCAAGATACTAGAGTCAGAGAGAGTATTTGGGCAGGAGCATTTCGAGGCTACTCTTCGGTATCCACCAACTGGACGCTTCTATGCAAGTTTACAGTATTTCACACTGATTTCTAAACAAAGTTTGAGTGCAACTATTCCTGCGACGCCAAGCTATTGACTGTGTACTCAAAGAGAACTACATGAAGGTAAGAATAATTATATATAATTTGACCAAGGGGTAAATAAAAGCGATTACGCTAGTTTGTATTTTTTTTATGAGGATTAGCCCACCTGGGCACAGGTCACTGACCCACATCGGGGCCTGGGGGGCGAAAATGTAATAATAATAATAATAATAACAGAGAACCATAAAGAAATACAAAAATGAAAAAAAAAATCAAGAGTGAGAAACAATATACAGTATGTATGTTGTGTTGTCAAAGTAAGAGAAACAATTGAGATCCTGCAATTGTGTTTAAATGAGGCAGAAAGTCAGATCAGCAACCTGGGACTTGTCACAATTTTTGTGTGGCCATCTGGCAGCAGGGTCTACCATTAGACAATGCATTATGCTTCCAATATCTTCCCAGGCGGTAGTACCTCCATGTTTCGGGGGTCGGTGGTTTGATTCCCTGGCGCTCCCAGGGTTAATATTTACAAGTTGCCAAACACCTATTTATATACCGAGTCTTTTATATGGAGAAAGAGAAAAAAAATATTCAGTGGCGTTTCCATCGGAAAGGTTTGTTTGGTGTTCTTTTTAGTATTTTACCTCACATTTTCCCTCTACTTCAAAGCCCTGCCCACTTTAAACAACTAATATAGTGGGTAATTTTATCGGCTAAGATACTCGAAAAATTAAAATTTCCGATGGAAACGCTATATATTTTTTTTTCTTTCTCCCTATATAAGACTCAATACATAAGGTGTTGGCAACTTTTAAATATTTACCTCGGCCATGCTGCCCCCTTTGTGTACCGAAGACTTAGTATGCAGTGTGCTGTATCTGCACTGTCCGTAATTGTTACTATATATAGCAGCTAATTAAGATATATAAGCTGCACATCTTTCACAACAAGCTGGGCAGTATAACTATTTCTATCTGTTGTACTCAGTTATACATATCGTTGAGACACCTTATCGAGGCTCAAACTTGTAGCCTTTGAAACGAGTTAATAAAAGCTACTGTCAGCATTCGAGGGCTCAGTGGTAGTGACGATTGATTACTGTCTGTAGGTTGAGGCATCATTTGGGAGGAGCAATTATTAATACTGTAATACAGTTAGATAATGTACAGTCTCGTTCAAGATTCTTCGACCTCTGCTGGAGACAGCTGGCAACTCAAGGCCGTTTGTTTACTATAGTACGTAGTAAAAATTATGAATGATTGTAAAAGTGATCGGTGATTGGTTACTTAGTTCCCCGTTGCTTAATTAATAGTTGGGCTTTGTTGTTTCGAATTATATTATACTACGTTCTATAGTAAAAAGCGGCCTTGAATTGCCAGCTGTCTCCAGGAGTGTTCGAAGAATCTTGAACGAGACTGTACGTCGTTACGAGACCAACATCTGTGCAGTATATTGCATTATCATACTAGAGAACAATTCTGTTTGTATTGTTAACGTTTACAACTTGGGCAGAAGTTGTCCAACACTGACAGTTGTGGGCGTCCTGATCACCTGGTGATCAAACACCATAAAAACCGTCAATGATGAGACATCAACACCTGAAGTGCCGGACGACATGTTGACAAGTGCGTAGTATAGTTAAGACACGGTACACACACACCGTATATGTATATGACAACACACACACACACACGGTATATGTATATGACAACACACACACACACATGGTATATGTATATGACAACACATACACACACGGTATATGTATATGACAACACACACACACGGTATATGTATATGACAACGCAAACACACACCCAGTTTACTTTGTGAGGACTTTGTTTTTGAGTGGGCATTTGCCAGAATCTATCAGTCAATTGATCCACAGCAATTTGACAATATGAGGACCTCCTCTACATCACACTGCTTGGTGAGCTTTCTGGATTTTCTGCACAAAACTTGCAGAAACGTAAGACATCACTGGCCGTTGCCCTTGTTGACTTCAGGAAGGCCTTTGACCTTGTTGATCACTGCACTGTTATCAACATGGCTATTGCACTAGGGCTGCCCACCAACCTGGTCTCATGGCTCACTGATTTCTTGAGTGGACGTAGCCAGGCAGTGAGGTATCAGGGCTCGGTCTCCACATTCCAACACCTCACCTGTGGTGTTCCCCAGGGGACCAAGATGGGACCACTGTGCTTCCTCATCCTGCTCAACGATGCTCTATCTGACACTCCTCACAGGTGGAAGTACGTGGATGACTGCACTGTGGGGGTTTCAGTGGACAACACCGCACCAGACTACTCATCGCTAAAAGGCACCCTGGACAGGCTACAGGCATGGACTACGGAGAACAAGGTCACCATCAACCACACCAAAATCGTAGTCATGCACATCAATACCGCCACCACTCCAATGCAAGCCCCAGCAGTCACAGTGGGTGCCCATCCTCTCCAGCTGGTGCAGTCTGCCAAACTCCTGGGTGTAACTATAGTCAACAAACTTGACTGGAAGGCCCATGTAAATAACACAGTCAAGGCAGCCTCGTACCGTCTCTACATGCTACGACGACTTAGGTCTCTTGGGACACCCCCGCCAGAGCTGAGGACCATCTACAACGCCTTTATTCTCCCTAAACTAACGTATGCGTCACCAGCCTGGTCGTCTTCTCTCAACTCCACCCAACAACGTCAGCTAGAGAAGGTACAGAAAAGGGCCTGCAGAATCATGCTCGGCGCAAAATACTCCGGCTACACCATCGCTCTCTCCACCCTGGAAATGCCATCCCTCAGTGACCACCACCACCAAGCACTGGAAAGGTTTGGCAGCCAACTAATGCACCACCCTCGTCATCGCCACCTCCTGCCACCTGCAGCCCCCCACCCACCTCGCGCAGTCCGCCACTACAACAAAATTCAGCCCATAAGAGCCTGCACCGATAGATATAAGAATAGCACCATCCCATCTATTGTTAAAATAATAGACAACTCCTGATTTATGTACTGTACAGCCCTGTAAATGTATTCAACACATATCATTATGTCTAAATCAAATGTAGGTTTGTATATTTCCAGCCACCGGCTGCAATTCTATTAATAAACCGTTTATTATTTATTTTATTATTGTTATTACACACACA